TCCTGCTCAGTTCCCACAGCTGGCAAGTTCCAAAGAGAATCACACAGAGGTCTCCATAAGATTATAAACTGATTGGCCCATTAGCACAGGCTTCTTATTAGCTCTTAAACTTATATTTACCCATTATTCTTATCTATGCTAGCCACATGGCTCGGTACCTTTTTCAGCAGGGCAGGTCACATCCTGCTTCTTCGGTGATCTGGGGAGGAATGGACTTCCTCCTTCCCAGCATTCTCCTGTTCTCATTGCCCTACCTTTACTTCCTGTCTGGTTGTCCCACCTATACTTCCTGTCTGGCCAATCAGCGTTTATTTAAAACATGATTGACAGAATATAGACAATTCTCCTGCACCAGCTTTACAATGGAGAGAATGATGTAGATTGGCAAAATAAGATCATTGCTCTTAAAAACTAAAGTTGACTATGAAGTATGAACAAGAATAGTGTCTAGACCTTTGCTGTCCACGAGACATGCGTGGCTTTCAGATGGATAAAATAAAACCAACTCAGGAGATCTTCCTCTTTCTTGGTGCTAGCCACACTTCACACACTCTGTAGCTTCTGAGCATTAGAGCTAGGCTTTGGGCAGAGGTGTACCTCTAAAACCCATGCATTTCCCATTGTACTGAACTGCTCACCCTTCAGAAATGAACACTGAAGAGTGGCTTAGCTTCGCCTACATGGCTGTGACTCCCTTGGGGATTATATCAGAATCCACTCCCAGCTCAGGTCGTGAGAAGTTGTCACCAGTGTACTGAAAAAAAACAAAGGAAATGGGCTTTTTCCTCCCCATAGAGCTTTAAATTTGCCTTCATTTTGCATTAAATGTTTCTTTATGAATGACAGCGATGAGGTGGGAAGTTTGGGGTTTGGACTAGAAAAGATGGCATCAGTAAGCCTCGTAATAGTTGGGTTTTATTCGTGTTGTCTAAGAAATGCATCCATGTAGCCAGGTTTCTTGGACCGCCAGCCCCCAAATCATGACACTGAGACTTATTAGTAAATAAATTATGAATGTTTGGCCTTATTTTAGGCTGTCTTAGGCTTGTCCCACTAGCTCTTATAGTTTAGCTTATTTTAACCTGTTTCTCTTCATCTACATTTTGCCTCGGGGCTTTTTAACCTTTGTTCTGTGTCTGGCTGGCCCTGGGCATCTCCCTCTCTTTTTCCCCGTGTTCTTGTCTCGAGTCTAGATTCCTTCTCCTCCTTATTCTCTCTGCCCGCCAGCCCCACCTCACCTTCTACTGCTTAGCCATTCTGCTTTTTATTAGACCAATCAGGTGCCATAGGCAGGCAGGGTGAGACAAACGTACCACATCTTTACATAAACAAATGCAATGCACCTTTTCACAGCTAAATATTCTGCAGCATAAACAAATATAACACATCTTTACATAAAGTAATATTCCACAACACACCTAATAGGCCTGGAGAGCTTGCTGATGCTCTCGGCTCTCACTGCAGACTGCAGGCTCAGCAAGGCACAATGACCCAGTGCTGGTCTTTCAAATACTGGCTTCCCTCCGTGGAGCACTGGTAGCAAGCAGGTGGCAACAGCAACTTGGGTATCTTCTACTGTTACAGTCCTTGTGCGGGCCCCAGGCATTGTAGTCCCTAGGCATGCCTCTACCTCAGCGGTTCTCAACCTTCCCAATCGCTGAGATCCTTTAATACAGTCCCTCATGTTGTAGTGACCCCAAGCGTAAAATTATTTTCATTGCTTCTTGATAACTGTAATTTTGCTGTTACAAATTATAATGTATCTATGTTTTCTGATGGTCTCAGGTGACCCATGTGAAAGGTTGTTTGACCCCCCCCCACACACACACACAAAGGGATCATGACCCACAGGTTGAGAACCACTGTTGTAGCTGTTGGCATTCCTCCGCCCTTGACAGCAGCCAGTTACAGTCCTTGGCCCAGGGTGTAAGACCCTTACGACTTCTAGCAACCAGAGACTGCTTTTCTCATCTCTGAATCCTCATAGACTACATTGTCCTTCTGTCTCAGTTCTGCTCCCTGCCTCCTGCTGTCTCTGCTGCTGCTGCCACTTTCCTGCATGGGCCTTCCTTAAGCTGCAGCTGCTGCTGCTATGCTGTCAGCCAGCCGCCTTACCCCTTAGTAGCCTGACTGCCACTCTGTGCTGCCTTCTCCATGCTACCAGCCGTACTCACATTACCCAAAGTAGGCCAGGCTGGTGGGGGACAGCTTTTATTGGGTATAGTGATGCGGCTCAGGAGAGGCAGCAGAGTCTCCCTGCCTGACCTCTGTGCTGGGTAGGATGCCCCAAAGATTCCACAGCCTCTAAAACATCATCACCTGCTGGGACCCAAGTTCCAAGCACATGAGTCTGCAGGGACCCTTTACATTCAAACCCTAATTGTAAGGAATTAGAAATGTTTGTGAACTATTGCTGAGGAGCCACTGATCACGCATGCACAGTAGAAGGCACTCAAGACCAGAGGCTGGGTGGGCTCAGGCTCCCACAAGGTATGGTAGGAAGCTTGGGCGCTACCTACTGGTATAACCTAGCAAAAGTCCAAGCTATCATCTGTGTTCTGCCAGAGTGTGCCCCACTTCCCCTTTACATCCCTACGAGGCTCTCCCACCTTAATCAAAATGACCAAGAGAGATGCGACTTACCCGAGAGAAACGGCTCAGCAGGTAGAAGCATTGACCACCAACCCCCACCGCCAAGTTCGAGTTCCTTAACCCACACCGCCAAGTTCGAGTCCCTTAACCCACACAGTGGAAGGGAAAAACCCACTCCCCCTGGGTGGTCGTCTGACCCCGACACTCACGCCCACACGCATTCCTTTACAGACAGGTAAACAGTCTCCCTGCTTCATCCCTCGTAAGCAGCACTTTCCAGGTGTTTTCTGACATACGCTCTACTGTCCAATTAACTGGCACCTGTGTTTGACTACTGAGGCCTTGCTATGTGGCTAGAGCAACTCACAAGCTTTTTGCTTCGTTTTAATTAAGCTTAAGCGGTTACATGGGCTCGCAGCGACTGTACCGAGCTTGGTACTCAGAGCCGTTCTCAACCCCATCTGCCTACGGAACTCACCTGGGAAGCTCTTCAGAGTCCAGGTGCCCAGATCAATTACATTAGCTCTCAGTCTTTGAAATGCTCAACAGGCAGCTCTTAATGAAGTTCTCTCAAAGCGCGGCCTGGCAAGCTATAATGCCTATGACTCAGCTGAAGTCTCTCTGCTTCCTGAAATGCAGATCTGACAGGTCTGAGGTGAGCTGAGAATCTACAGCTCTCTTAACTGGCAGGTGCTGCGGCTCCCTGGGCCACACTGAGCAGCAGCTGCTCACGCACTCTGCAGTTCGCAGTTCGAGGCCAATGGCGGCAGTGCTTGCTTTCAGTTTGCAGCCTAGTTCAGAAAGGCTACAGTTAGCAGGGCAACAGTTTCAAGTGACAACGAATAGAGTCATCCATACACGGATGGAAGAGGTGTATGCTGGTTCCCTTACCTCGGAACGTGTTTTTAGTTTGTAGGGCTTTTTTTTCTTCTTCTTCTTTTGGTTTTTGAGACGGGGTTTCTGTGTAGTCCTATCTGTCCTGGAACTAACTCTGTAGGCCAGGCTGGTCTTAAACTCAGAGATCTGCCTGCCTCTGCCTCCCGAGTACTGGGATTAAAGGTGTGAGTGGCTGCCTCCTCCTGGCTAGTTTGTGGTTTCAAGAAGCCTGTAAGGTGAATTTCTGAGAAACATGGTCTGAAGTGACCGAGGGAACAGCCTGGCAGAGAAATGAGAGAAGGGGGAAAGTGACGGAAGACAGTGTGCGCTGGTGATAAGGAACATTATTAGCTTTATCCTAACTGCAGTTTAAAGCTGTAGCGGCCTAAGCAAGAGCCCGTTGACCACGGAGAGCTCATTCACTGCTGCTGTCTAATGGCTTTCTTTTGTCAACCCCACCCCCAACCTTGAAAAGGAAGACAAATAGGTCTTTGTATAAGAAAAGAACAATGATTCATAAGTACTTCGGGGAAAATAACACCAAGAAAGGCTGATTTAATCATTCTAGTGCTAACTGCCCTAACTCACCCATGCAAGGGCAAGAGAGCTAGGCCCAGTCATGACAATCATTCCTTATCTCTAAATGCCACCTTCACTACTACTTAACTAGTCCCCAGAAAGGAGCATGGGCGCGGCCTCAGCTATAGTAGTGTGCAGCTACGCGGTCTGGTAGCTCTTTATGGTAGGCTGCAGCAGGAAAGGACGGGGCCATAAAAGGTTATCATGCCTCAAATTCCCTCTGCCTGTCCTGGTCCTGCACTTTCTCCTCTGTCCAATCCAGTCTTTAAGATGTGATGAGATTCAAATGAAGACAGAGAAAAGAATTAACACTGATTGGTTCCAATGCTCTGTCACGGAAGCATACAGTAATTTGTGTAGTCAAACGATTCTCTTCAGTTGTAGGACAACAGGCCGCCGTGCCAGGACCCAGGATCAGTGTCTGCGATGGAATGATGGGATGAGTGTTTACTGAGGTATCAACTATTTTCTCGCTAGCCAGGTCGCCAGGTTTCTCAATGAAATGATAAAAGAACTCAGCTTTTGCAAAAGATTTTATTACAATGCATGTATGATATAGGGGAGGGGCACACCACCTTCATGTGGTATCTGAGTACAGAATCATCAGGCTTCTATGGTAAGACCTTACCCACTGAGCTGTCTTGCTAGCCAAAAGGGATGTAGCTTTTTAAATGCCAATGAATCACTTTTTCCATAAGTATTATGACTTTTCTGGCTCCAGATAAAAGCTTTAAGAATTTTTTTTAAAGGATTTATTTATTAATTATGTATACAGCATCTGCCTGCATGTATCCCTGCTGGCCAGATGAGGGCACCAGATCTCATTATAGATAGTTGTGAGCCACCATGTGGTTGCTGGGAATTGAACTCAGGACCTTTGGAAGGACAGTCAGTGCTCTTAACCTCTGAGCCATCTCTCAACCTCCCCTCCCCCCAAATTTTTTTAACTGTCAATGAACAAAGAAAATGTGTACTGATTCATCAGAAACCCAAGAAAGAAGGCATCTTTAGAGCAAACTAGAAAGTTGCCATTGTTGGTGGGACAGACGTGTGAGCAGAGCTGTGGCCTGCCTTCTGAGTGGTGTACTGCTGGCGTGTACAGACCTCGCAAGGACTCCCAGGAAGAACAAGTCCCCTGGCTGCTATCTGAAAGGCACTTGCGCACATTTTCAATTGGGAAGGGTAACTGCAAGATGGAGGACAATACTGACCCCAGCCTCTCATCCTGAGTGGCCCAAAACCTGCATGTAAGAGACTATTCAGTTATACTGCTGTCAAGGCAGCCAGCTTGTTCCACAGCCTGGCCACCTGAACGGGATTCACAGGTTTTCAAAAAGGTGACTCCACTTCACCCATCTCCACATACACCGTCTTCAGCTGTGAATAGTACTCAATGGTCACACGGCCATTCTCTCTGCCAAATCCTGAAAAGACAAGGCGGGGTCAGGGTGAGTTGGTCACTACAGTGGTTTGAAAAGTCACACACTACTCCAAATTCAAGCTCGGCTGGTCCGGGTGGGAAGCCCATTCTCAAACCAGGTACTTTTGTGGAGCTGGGGCAAGCGGATGTTAGGACAGGGAAGTAACACAGCCTTGTTTCAGAGCATGAGTCCTGACGTCAGGTGCCTGCTGCTCTGGGTGAACATCTGAAAAATGTTCAGTCTCTTTATGTTAAAGTCAGGCGCTCAGCCTACCAAGCACAAAGCCCTGGGTTCCATCCCTAGTAGCACACAGTCTGGGCAGAGTATTACCCGCCTGTAATCCCACTTTACACAGACAAGGGCCTGGTCAAGTCTGCTCCACTACCCCATAAGCTCTAGATACAGGAGACTGTGTTCTCCCTTCCCCACCCCAGCCCAGCCCTGAAGAAAAAAAAAAAAAAGGCAGCGCGTTAAAAGTGCCTCTAAAGCAATCCACCTGACAGCCCTGGAAAGCAGTGTTCATTTACAAGTTGACTAACAAGGTTTATCAATCTTTTAAATATGCAAAGAGCAGGCTTCCGGTTCCTTGATTACTTAATACCCTCAAGCACTGCCCAACACCTAATGAATAATGTGTAAAAAAGACGGCACGCCAGGCTTGGGCTTTGTGTTGTATCCTGGTCCAACCCATGGCTAGCTAAACCTACAGGGACTCCGCAGATGTAGCCATCTCTCATCACACATGTCCACTGTCGCGCTACTCAAAAGGAATGGAAACCCTAAGGCCTAAGTCCTATCCTAGAAGTGAGTCATTAATGAAATAGCACCTTGACTTCTACCTGCATCGTGCACGTGTCCAGCTCCTTCGTGTACCACACACTGGATGTCGTTGAGGAGCACGAGGATAACACTGAATATCAGGTAAGACTCGACACCCACCATCACTTCAGTGTTCATAATATTAAGGTGGCCAAAGACTATGGGTTAGACCCTGAAACTGTGTTCAAACCAATTTTTAGTTTAAATGAAAAAAGTATGGGAAATAAATGAATACAGGTACCAGAATACAAAGAAAGAACCTCAAAGTGGTGGCTATATCCCTGTGCCTCAAACCCCTGAAACACCAGAACACATATGGGGGGCACAAATAAATGAGCAGTAGCTTAGGGGGCGCTCTGGTGCCATCCAGAACAGAGATGATGGCTAGAATTGTGGCAAATGGCAAATTAGGAGACTTCATAAATTTGGGACCCAAAGAGAAAACCCATTAATATAAGCTTTCTGGAATGACTTTAGAAGCCCCTAAGCCCCATGGGCATACCTGATGTGGAACCCCTGCAGGAGTGTTTAATGCTCAGAGCAATCAATCCAACACTAAAGAAAAGGTAATGCGACCCACAAGACACGCCATGAGATGTAGATCAGCCATTCACACACCATGTTACACAGGAGAACTTCAGGGCAATGCCGGTCTGCATTCCAGTGAGGCTGGGGAGGACTGAGTCTGTCTCCTCAGGCTATGCCAGTCACAGGCTGAGGAACACTGGTGTGGCAGCACTGGCTACAGCTGGCTTGTGCATTCCCACCTCCTCACCTGATTTCTTATATCCACCAAAGGGCAACTCCACCGGGCTGACATTGTAGTTGTTAATGTAGCACGTTCCAGCCTGAAGGTCGGCCGCCACCCTGTGAGCCCGCTGGATGTCCCTGGGAGGGAAAAGACAGCGCTGGTTATTCACAGCTCAAGCTAACTTCACAGGAAACCTCGGAGCGTAAATTGGAAGGGTCCTGAAATCCTGCCAAACTCTTGTTTCTTCAAACTGTTTAAAACCCTTTCATCGCCCAGGCAAAAGATGACCCAGATTTTTTTTTAAAAAATCACTACAATAAGCAGCAACAAGAGTGTCACTACTCAGCGGTGTGGAACAACTACGCCACCTCACAAGTGACGAAGGTGGAACCCTTACACGGCACACAAGCATGCACTTGCATAGAGCACAGGTCTGTAAACTATAAAACCATCAGAAGTACAGAAATAATTCTCCATGGTCCCAGATTAGACAAAGCCTCCTTAAATATAATTCTCAAAGTAATAGACAAAAGCAAAAGCAAAATCCACAAAAACCAAATCCACAGTGGAATGACCTCATACCCAGGAGAATGGCTGAAACTGAAACATGCCAATGACGGCTGGCGCAGGTATGGAGAAATTAGAGCCTTTTATTTCGTGTGAGTGTTTGTAGGCATTTGTGCCGTAGCACATGTGTGGAGGCCAGAGGACAACTCTGAGTCAGCTCAAGGCCTGCCTGGGCTACAGAACAATGTCATGGTCATCTTTGACAACATAGAGCACATAACTCAAAATAAAAAGTGAAAAAAAAAAAAGGGCTGGTAATGCTGGAGATATACAGCTCAGTGTAGGATGCCTGGTTAGTATTGCCAAGGTCCTAGGTTTAATCCTTAGTACCCCAACACACATACACACACACACACACACACACACAGAGAGAGAGAGAGAGAGAGAGAGAGAGAGAGAGAGAGAGACAGCACTTAGCCCACTCAGTCTCCAAATCAGAAAAGCAGAGTCCCAATCTTTTTGTCAGGGCCCAAAGGGAAGCAATCACATGAGGACTACCTTCAAAGCACTTCCATGGAAGGAAATCTCAGACCTTCCTTCCTAGGTATCTGACCACAAGGCAGCACTTGACCTTGGTACCACAAATGCTCTGCAGCTCTCAGTGAAGCCTTAGAAAACCACCTTCCCAAGGCCAGTGACTAAAGAGTTTGCACATGACCTGGAGATTTACAGTTCTTTCCTTTATCTTTTTGTTTTGTTTTCTTGTACTGTAGTCTCACTATGTCTCAATAGTGACATAGTGAGACCAGGCTGGTCTCAAACTAATGGCCCACCTGCCTCTGACTGCTGGGGTTATAGGCACGTACCACCAAATCCAGATTGTTTTGAAAGAAGTTTTACAACAAATCATTTTTATCTCTATTATAGTGGTTAACATTTATGTACAAATATATTTATGATGGTAACACAATATTTAAAATTGAAGCAACATCATAAATATGCAACATACTAACAAAGTCTATGTGGGTTACAATGCCAACCTGTTAGGAGCTATTACACTGCATTAAAAATGTTGTATTTGAAGAACAATGTTCAGTATCCATACAGTTAAAAGTCTTCTAAATTCCTTGATGTGAATGTTTTCAATATCTAGCCCAAAGCTTTACATAGGTCAGAATCTTAAATATTCAATGAAAGAATAAAGCCAGAACTTTCATTAATAAAGTTCAGTTTAGATTCCATAGCAATGTAGTTGGCCATTAATGAAAAACTATAAAATGCAGCTTTGGCATTTTCTGAATTAAAAAGAAGCAAACAGGGCTGGGGTGTAGCTCAGTTTGGTCTTCAGCATCATGAAACAGACAGAGATGCTGATGGCTCTGAAGACAACAAAGTAAGAAGGAGTAAGAATGATTGCAGACCCAAGAAGACACCATAACCCTTTCCTTCCAAGATGCTGTGGGTGTCTTGATCCACATACCTGGTAAAGACGCCAGCTGCTAGTCCAAAAGTGGTATCATTGGCCCGCTCCAGAACCTCAGCTTCAGTTTTAAATGGTAAAATGGACATGACTGGTCCAAAGATCTCTTCTCTCACACAGGTCATGTCATCTCTGCAATTAGCTACCAACATTCATAATGAAACCAATGGCAGTGAGGGGAGCATAATCTCATACTAGACATTACCTGTCCTAACAGTGAAACACATAGCTCTAGAGAGGACACAGCAACCATGAATATTAATTAGACCTTCCTTTCGCATGGCAATTTGGTAATACATATTAGAGAGTCATCCTGTATAATTCTGAAACCACTTTTTAGAATTCCTAAGGAAGTATCCAGTGAGTTAAACAAATTTACTTCCAAAGATCTTCACCACAGTATTACTTACAAAGCAGAAAGTCACAAACTAAACATTCAAATAGGAAATAATCACACAAACTAGACACACCTTAATGAACTTTTATAAAGCGTCTAAAAGCAATGTTTTTGAAGAAAACATTAAATAGATGTTCATAAAATACTCAACTGAAAATGACCCAAAAATGCACCAACCACATTTCTATTAAAATGTTACACAAACACACACATATATATACACACACAGATATATACACACACACGTACATACATACACATGTATATACACAAACTTTATATACGTATAAATAGTGTGTATACTGTGACAAAGTATATATATATATATATATATATATACACACATACTATATATATAGTCACATTTTGTTAAATGTAACTCCTATATAATTACAACTAGAAACAATGCTATAGAGGAAATGAAGAGGTTGGAAAGATGGCTCAGTGGTTCAAGGGTGCACTGCTTTTGCAGAAGACCCAAGTTTGTTTCCCAGCACCCACATCAGGCAGTTCACACCTCCTGTAACTCCAGCTCCCGGGAATCCAGTGCCCTCCCCCAGCCTCCACAGGCACTCCATATCCACATACTGCATGCATAAATGCACACATAAAAATATTTTTAAGAAAATGCAACATAAAACAAATTTAAAAATAAATGAAGGTATATTTGCTTTGTTAAAAATGCATTTAAATGTTTCTAAAAATGACTAATTCCCTAAAATTATTCAGTTCACACTTGACATTTGAATTCTGCCCTTAGAACTGAGAAGCACCAGTACCAAGCCCCAGTGAGCCTCAAAAGGAGGGAGCACACATCTGCACTGTTTAGCAACGCTGCACAGGAACGGTCTTGAGCAGCTGCACAGGTTAATGACGTGTTTTGGAGTACTGTCAGACGCCCTGGCTCATTATAACCAGAGTCTAAGAAATAGCTCCGTCTAAAATAATTCATGGACTTACAAAGATTCCAGTACTAAAATCTCTTCAGAAGTGGGGGGAGTGGAGGGAGGGGAGACTGCAGTTAGGATGTATTATATGAGAGAATAAATTTAAAAAAAAAAAAAGGAAAAAAATCTCTTCAGAGGCAGGTTAGTTGTTGCCCTCCACACAGCAGCCTGTATCAGTGCACTAGAGATGCCTGGATTCCAAGAAGTCATAGATTGCATTCCCAGATAACTGGCTGTGTTCTTGGTTCTGTTCTAAGTCTTTGAAAATTAATAATCCACGCATAAGTTTTATTTTAATTACTCAAAACAATTATCCGATCCTCTTTGAAAAGTTTCTGTCATCTTACAAAAGCCTAGTTATACAAATGGCTCTGTGGGCCCTGAGCTTTACACTGGAGAGCTGGACGGGATAGGTATGAAAGGCAGCAGCATGCTGTCTGAAACACAGAGCGGTCCTTAAGTCTTGAGCAAGTCAGACTAAGGCTCTAAATTAGTTCTAAACTTCCTAGTGCATAAAGGTGAACTGTGGGTCTGTTACAATGCACATCTCTAGGCCCCAAGCTCAAAGATTGACAGTCAGACAGCAAAAATCTGTTTTAGCAGGTTTTCTAAGTTACATATACTTTAAAACGCAAGCTAGCTTCCAGCATCACAAGGGTTGGCTCCCTCCTCTTTTGTTGTGGGGACTCCTTTAGCCAATAGCCTTTAAGATACTGGAACACTCTGGGCGTGGCTACATGTACTATATAAACAGACGTAGAAACAGTGTAGCCCCCTCGGCTGCTGGATTCAGTTTCTGTTCCCTGCTCATGCAGAGGACTGCTGATCTGTGAGTCTACCCCTAAATAAAGAGACCTTTATTATACTCCATTCTGAGCTAGTGTGGGACTGCTTTATTATAATCCTCCACACTCTGCTGGCTTCACAATCTGCATAAAGTCTAATTGTGAAGTACTCGTTCATGATAGAAAGTCTATGATATTCAGAAATACACAAAATGTAATGAAAGGAGCCTTAACCCCAGCATACAGAAAACTCATTAATATGGTCTCACCATGTATACTCCATTCCTTCCTTTGCTTCAGGTTCTTCAACAGATTCAGAATATCATCATATATTCTATCGTCTAACCCATATATTTCACTTAACAACATATAAGCTTGCCATATTTGTTACTCATTCAATTACAACTAACCTAATCCATGGTATGGATGTTAGGCTCATAGCTTTTCAATACCAGTGGTTATTTCTTTAGGCTAAAGGTTAACACCACTACCAACAGGGTCACGGGCTTGGAATTAGTTTAATTGCTAATATAAGTAAGATTTATAGGTACTGCTTAAAGCCTATAAACCAAACAATATTTGTATGAAATGTCCTAACAAAAAACTGTAAATGAGACTAATTAAAGCAGGGTTTAGCTAGGTGTGGTAGTGTTCGCCTTTATTTAACCCAGCACTCAGGAGGCAGCGAGAGTCAACCTCTGTTAAGTTCAAGCCAGCATGGCCTACGTAGAGTGTTCTAGGTCAGACAGCAACACACAGTGAGATGCAAGCAGGTTTGACAGGATGCCCATGTATACTTGACTGTTCAAACTACAGTTTGAAGAGTGAAAAGATCTTATAAAACTTACTAAACTTACGCCTGAAAAACTGATTCTGTTATATTGATATATTACAGTTCAAAGGAAAAGCATGTTTTACATTATTGAGGAGCTCAATACTTTTTTTAAAAAAATCAAACATATATTGGGCTTTTTTTTAAAGCTTATTCCAAGAACAAATGTCTCCAGTACATATGGTTGTATGTACCCAGTACATAAACCAATATACATGATTGTCCCAGCTTAGAGGTACCTACGGAGCTTCAAAAGTAATGAAGTAGTACTACTTCTTAAACCTGGATAGTGGAATCATTAAATTGCCAACGCTTACTCTATGGCATTACATAGTTCATAAATATTCATTTCTAACTATCTACTATTTAATTCAAGTCATTTAAAAGCGAACAAGAAGACATACTTAAAATGCAAGGTGTCATGTAATATCCATGTTTTAATTTAGGATCCGTTGGTTCATACGGCTCTCCACCATATAGCACAGTAGCACCCTAAGTGAAAAAGAAAAGGCAGGCATCTTCTGTATTGAACACACAACCCCATATGTGTTCCCACAAGGACAAAGGTAGCCCGAGCAAAGGCACACAGCATTTACCCTCCCAAAGCAGAACACTCATGGATACTAACCACCAATGTAAATGCAAAAAAGAGCATGGGGCAAGGAGTCATGACGTAACCCGACCCTTCCAGCTCCCATTCATTTCTCACCTCCTCCTTTGCTGACTTTATAAACCCAAGGACCCGTTCCAGATGTGGGCCATTGATGAGTGGGCCCATCCTCGTATCTTCCAGAAGGGGGTCTCCAATTCTTATGTTTTGAGTCTGCTTCACGACTTCTTTTGTAAATTTGTCAATAATTTCCTTTTGCACAAACACTCTAGTTCCATTACAACAAACCTAAAAGAAAAAAAAAAAACATCAATTGTGTGGGAAATGAAAAAAAATGAGGAAAAAAACATGTAAAAATTTTTCATGGGTCATGACCCCCTTTTTTTAATGTTTTATTTTATATATACTGATGCTTTGTCTGCATGTCGGTCTGTGTGCCATGTGTGTGCCTGGTACCTGTGGAGGCCAGAAGAGGGCATTAGGTTTCCTAGACCTGGAGTCACAGATGATTCTGAGCTACCATGTGGGTGCTACGAATCAAACTCAGGTCCTCTATAAGAGCAGTCAATGCTCTTAACTGCTGAGTCATCTCTCCAGCCCTATAACACATTTTTTTAAAGAATATTTTCATTTTTAAAAACTTCCCAAAGTAATTAGGAAGGCTCAGTTATATGATTGTGGACACACATCTCACAGGAATAATCTGCTCTTTAATAGAAAAGTTAATCCTTACTATGCTGAAATTGTCTTAAGACCATTTATGGCCCACAGGATCAGAGCCCTCGCTTACCCCCCTGCAGTACCGGCTGCTCACTCTGGTTGTTCCTGAGGAGTGGGAGGTGAAGGTGGGTTAAAAATAAAACAGGTAAAGAGCTGTAGTCTTGAGCCTAATTTTAAAAACTGAACATTTCAGTTAGTATTATCTCTAAAACTAAACAATTACTACTTACTCGTTCTTACAGGAACGAACATGAATATTGTTCAAACACCATACACACATATAGAAGGACACAGAATGAAGTCCCAGAAATAGAATATTCCTATGAAGTTAAATGACATGATTTCCAGAATATAGTAAGGGGGAAAAATGGTGCTTCTAACCTGATACAAAGTAAGCAGAGGAAAAAATAAATATACAAATATCTGGTCATTTTGTTCAAAGAGCAGAATGGGAAATGGTGAGAACAGGAAGAGATGGGAATGGGCAGAGGAATGAGGAAAAGTTCCAGTTCTGAGTGAGGCTCTTTAAAAAACAGTCTAATATTTGGAACTATGATCATGTCTTGCCTGATCAAAACAGATTTTAAAAATCTTTAAAGGACAGAGGAAAAGACACCTCAAATGAAACACAAACAGAAACCAAAGAACCCACTATTCAAACTGAACATTGTAACCATAACGTGTCAACAGAAGTTTCTGTCCCACAGCCATTCAGATCCAAATAAACACACAGGTTTATATTAATTATACACTGTTTGTTCTATTTGCTCAGGCTTATTATTAAACTACCTCTTACAATTCAAATTAACCCATAATTCTTATCTATGTTTAGCCACGTGGCTTTTCTCTATAAGGCATTCGTATCTTACTTCCTCTGTGTCTGGCTTGTGACTACCTCTTCCCAGAATTCTTAGTCTGGTCATCCCACCTATACTTTCTTCCTGGCCAATCAATGTCTTATTAAACTAATGAGTGACAAATCTTTACAGTGTACAAGAGCATTATCCCACAGGATTTCCTCCTTTCTTCTTTTCAAAGCAAAAACTCTGAATCTAATCTTTGCTTAGTTTTTTTCCTGACCATTATCAATAACAACTTGTAACCAACACTCTAAACAAAGACAAACGTCCACAATCCATATTTTTGGGAATGTGGGCATGGTTTTCTAAGCTACTTCCTGCTGATTAGGGATGCTGATAATCTTATGGAGACTCAAAAGAAAATTTAGGATTATGGTCAAGTTCTGTCTGGAGTATTCTGTGAGGCTGGATCATCTCAGCTAGCAGTCTTGGGCTGTTCTGGATGTAGAACTCAGAGAAAACTACAAAGGAGGCATCTGAAACACTGGATCAGCAGGGACAATAGAACAGACCTACATAACTTCTGAACAGAGCATTAGGCTGTACCAAAAAAAAAGGCTAGGTAGCGGTGGCGCACACTTTAGTCCAGCACGAGAGGCAGAGGCAGGAGAATCTCTGACTTAAGAGGCAAGCCTGGTCTACAAAGAGTTCCAGGACAGTCAGGGCTACACATAGGAAAACCTGTCTCAAAACAAAACAAACAAACAAAAAACCACAGGTGAGCCATCTCTCCCACCTTTGTTATTATTTCTCTAAACTGTACATGTTTATGTGGTACAGTATGATCATTTGGTACATGTATCAAGCTAAACAATGGGTACAAGCAGGAATAATTGGAGTAGTTAGCATTGTTTCCATTGTGAGTTATTTTGTGAGGTCTCTGGGTAGCCCAGGCTGTCCTTGACTTCCCAGCTTCCCAAGTGCTTGCTGGGGTCACAGGCATGTGCAGCATGCCTGGTTTTAACTCTTTGATCTGAGTAACTTCTTTGATTTCTGGCACGTTGAGGTATTCTAGACCTATCTCATTCTTTTTCCACCTGAACTCTGGAATTGGCCATTTATCTAGGCAGCCCTGGTTTCAATAAGTGCAAAGTGAGACCTAGAAACCAAACTTTAGGGCTAGGGATGTAGCTCAGTGGTAGAACGCTTACCTGCTGGTTTTGGGGGTTTTGTTGTTGTTGCTTTTGTTTTGTTTTTGTTTTTGTTTTTGTTTTGGTTTGGTTTGGTTTGGTTTTTGGTTTTTTGAGACAGGGTTTCTCTGTAGCTTTGGAGCCTGTCCTGGAACTAGCTCTTGTAGACCAGGCTTGGCCTTGAACTCAAAAGATTCGCCTGCCTCTGCCTCCCAAGTGCTGGGATTAAAGGTGTGCTCTACCACCATCTGGCTTACCTGCCATTTTTTGAGATCCCAAGTTTAACCCCTAGTACTGCCAAGAAGGAAAAAAACCTACCAAGATCTCAGTGTCAGGCTCTTGACTACTACTGTGTCCATGTTGCTCATAATTCTCAGACCAGGGCTAGGGAATGCATGTCTGTGTGTATGTGAGACACTTTGTTTTGTTTTTCTTTTTCTTTTTTTAAGATAGGGTTTCTCTAAGTAAGAGCTCTAGCTGTCCTAAACTAGCTCTGTAGACCACACTGGCCTTGAACTCAAAGAGATTCACTTGTCCCTACCTGCTGGGATTAAAGCCAATAAATTAACACTCATAAAGTACTAATCACATTATGCTTATGTAAAAGAATGTGTTTTTGAGGGGCTGTGCTACAGTATTTGATAGTTAGGGACCTTGTGTCTGAAGGGGAAGGACCCCCCCATGTCCACATACTATGTTAAACTCTGCTGAAACATAACTGAGCCATAGAAAAAAGCCCCCAGGCTCAGCTAATGACTCTGCAAAATTTAGCTGGGCCATAGAAGGAACGTTCCCCCGGCCCAGCCGATGCTAAAACAGGGTATCTATGGGTTGCAGACTCGCTGACTAGGCTGAGGAGAGGGAGTACCCCAGCCCCAAGGCATTCTATCAAAACTGTCAACTTGCTGCAGGGTTCTCTTTCTAGCTTTGTGGTTTTTCGGGGAAATTTGGGAAAAGACATGGGGCCATTCCCGGGGTGAGCTAAGCCCGCCAATTTGAGAACCAATGAAATGCTTGTTGCTATGCAGCCTCTTGTGTAATTCTTAAATCCCTATAAATACATAATGTGCCTTCAGCCTGGCATGCTCAGTAACTTGGTTGCTGTAGCATCCATAGGCGCCTGTGTAAATAAACTGCTTCTTGCTCTTGCATCCAGTGGACTGGTTCTTGGACAGAGGGTTCCAAGTGAGACCCCCTGACATTTGGGGTCTTTCAGTGTCTATAACTTGCTCTCAGATAGTTCAAGAGGACATTGCTTCTGTATTATGTATATAAACAAATTGAGAGAACAGTAAGTTCAGGAAGACATTGCTACTGTATGATGTATATAAACAGATTGAAAGAATGGTAAAGTACTCCTCAACCTGTGGGTCATGGCCCCTTTGGCAAACCTCTATCTCCAAAAATATTTACATTGTGATTCATAACAGTAGCAAAAATTATAGCTATAAAGTAACAATGAAAATCATCTTATGGTTGTGGGCCACCACAACAGGAAGAATCGTATTAATGGGTCGCAACTTTAAGAAGGTTGAGGACCACCGTATTAGAGGGATCTGGTTTAGAGATATACAGAACTGTTGGTACTATTTGTCTACAACTACCCTGTAATTCTCAGTGTGTCTAGAATGTCGGCATGCTGCCAGGGGGAGAGGCAGGGATTCCTTCCTAGTCCTTCCAGGAAGAGTTCATACCTGGCCTTGTGTGAGGAAGTTGGCCACCAGTGCCCCCTTCACAGCGTCCTCCAGGTCACAGTCTGAGAAGATGATTAGAGGAGATTTGCCTCCAAGTTCCAAAGTGACAGGTTTGATTCCTTTAGCGGACATTTCCATGATCTACAGAATCAAAAACAAGGCACCCGGAAGTTTAACATAAATTAGCCTGCATGCTAGGTCAACTCAACCTGAACCTACCAGGTTATCTTTGTCTGACAGGGGTCATAACCTGTCCTCACGTACACTGGGCTCTTCATACACTTAGAATATTCTTTGGTAAATGTTTCCAAGAATTTACAGAATGTCACATAACACCCTGAAACAGGAGTTCATTTAAAACATATTGACAATTCACAGGATTCTTGCAGCCAGGAATTCTTTTTGCATTCTTATGTTTAGGGCTATTTAAAACTTGGAACACAAATCCAGGTCAAAGTAACAAACCTGAAGTAACCTGAGAGAATATGCCTTCTTCTATACAATACAGTTAACTCAAACAGAGCACAGTGCAGCCCAGGCCCCAATTCTTCACACACATCGTCTCCTGAAGCAGGCGAAAATTTCTACCCGACCTGGGCTACCACAATCCACTCACACATGCCCTCTTTCCCCTGTTACGTGCACAGAAGAGTAGAATTTCCTGGCCCATTCCCAACATAAACTCAAAATCTGCAAAATAAACAGTGGGCAGGACTAGCTTTGCCAGACTTCGCCATTTGTGTTGAACAATACTGGTGTTGTCTGTACCTTCATGCCAGTAGGCACACTTCCAGTGAAGGAGACTTTGGCCACATCGCGATGCTGACACAGAAACTGGCCTGTAGCAGCCCCACCTTGCACCACATTGAAGAGTCCAGGAGGCGCGCCTGCCTTGGTATAAATCTCAGCCAGGAGCAAAGCAGACACAGGTGTGAAAGGAGAAGGCTTAAAGATCATGGCGTTACCTGTAGAAAAGCAAATGCTCCTCTTAGACAAGATTAGACAATTCCAACTGGTTACTGGTCTTCCAAATTCACCAACGATGTTATTAATTCTAGAAATATCTGAGACTGAAACGATGACCCATTGGTTAAGAGCACTTGCTGCTCTGTCAGGGAGTCTGAGATCAGTTTCCAGTGCACAAAGGATGGCATAGAGCCAGCTGTAACTACAGATCCAGAGAATCTAGCACCTTCTTCTGGTCTCTGCAAGTATTAGTGGTACACATGGTATACTATATACCATCTATCTATCTACCTACCTATCTATCCATGCAGGCAAACACTCATACATAAAAAAACTAATAAATCTAAAATTATTTTTTAAAAAAGGACATACCTTGTTTCCCCACCTCATGTATCAAGGTCTTTGCACATGGGTCATCCTATTTAAAGCTTGCAATTTCAATGTGAAGTAGGGATAATCAGTCTCATAAAAGTTAAAACTGAAGACCAAAAACTTTCATTTCCTTTCATTCCAACACTAGAAGGCTGAATCAAAAGGATAGCCTAGCCAGTGGTGGAAACACCTTTAATCCCAGTACTCGGAAGACAGAGGCAGGCAGATCTCTATGAGTTCGAGGCCAGCCTGGTCTACAGAGTGAGTTCCAGGACACCCAAGGCTACACAGAGAAACCCTGTCTCGAAAATCACCTCCTCCCACCCCCCAAAAAGGATAGCCTAGAATACACAGCCAGTTCCTATGTCAGAAACAAACTGGACAGATGCAAAATAGAAACCCCAAGACATGACCTGTGTGTGTGTGTGCAACCTCAACTTTAATTCCTTCAGGCACAAGGCAAGGCATAAATAGACCCACATCCTCTGAGACTGACTGCCCCGAGGCAGCTCTTTCTCTCTGAGTTGGGGGCAGAAGGCTCACTGTGGAGGTGTGACTTATTCTTACCACATGCCAAAGCAGGAGCAGACTTCCAACAGGCAATCTGGAAGGGGTAGTTCCATGCTCCTATCCCCACACACACCCCAAGTGGCTCTCTTCTGGTGTAGCCGAAGGACCCATTTGGGAGCTGGACATGCTCTCCTAGGGGTAAAACAGAATAAGAAATGATGCAAGTCTATGCTCGCCACAATTTCACTAGCACGAGATCATTCTAGTTAACTCTCAAAGACTCTTCTGTGGGGGCTGGAGAGATGGCTCAGCATTGAAGAGCACTAGCTGCTCTTCCAAAGGACCCAGGTTCAGGTTTCAGCCCCACGTGATGGCTCCCAACCATCTGTTAATTCCAGTTCCTGGGGATCCTATACCCTCTTTTGGCCTCTGCAGATACCAGACATGCAAGCAGTATACGACACACATTCAGGTAAAAGACCCATACACATATAATTTTAAAAATAAAAACAAGCCAAGTATGGTAGAGCACGCCTTTAATCCCAGCACTGAAGAAACAGAGACAGGTGGGTCTCTGTGAGTTCAAGGCCAGCCTGGTCTATGTAGCAAATTCCAATTCCATGCAAGCAAATCAAGGCTATATAATAAGATCCCATTTCAAAAATAAACATTTAAAAACAAACTCTCCTAAGTGCTACTGGGTAACTTAGACAAATATGGAAATGAGGGACGACTCGGCAGCAGAGAAGTCTAAGGACCCTAGAACCCTGGACCGCTCACTTACCACATGTGGCTCAGGTGGGCTCTACCACCCATTCAATATGAACTGCTGTAAACATTTGTTTGAGACATGTTTCATTTACCTCAGGCTAGCCTCAAATTCACTATGTAGCTGAGGATGCCCTTAACCTTCGGTACTAGGATTACAAGTGGGTAGTGGGCATCACCACACTCAGGAGTATGTGATATCTGGAACTGGACCCAGGGCTCCACGCATACCAGGCAAGCACTCCAATTTAGCTACATTCCTGGCCTGAACTGGATAACAATGGTAAGCATCATGCGGACTCTTACAAACCACTGCTTCGAACCATTTGGTCTAAAGTTCAGGTTTTAACACTGGATGCTTTCATGTACTATCACATTGAATCCTTAAAACAATCCAAGAAATTGTTACTATCTCCACCTTAGCTAAGGAATGATAAACTAACATAAGCCACCCAAGTAGGTAACAATCAACTTAAGACTTTGCCCTTCACCACCAGGCTCTGCTCTTCTGCCCTCAGATCAGATGGTCACCTGAGGCCACGCCAGGGCTCACCTGCCATGGATGCAGCCAGGCCTGCATAGTATTCCAGGCACTGCCACGAAGTGTCAATATCCAGGCGGGCCTCAAATATGGACTTCCCATTGTTGATTGTCTCCATGGTGGCAATTGCATCCTTTTGTTCCTTGGGGGAAAACAGAAGAGGAGATTTAATTCATATTATGATGTTTCAACATGGCCAGTGCTTAAAAAGAAATGTGTCACTCAAGTTCCAAGCCTAGAAAAGGCTGGCACTTGTGAGGAACCTCGGCAGAATAAGGGTGCTGGACTGGGAGACAAACACCTGCTGTCCTCCTTCCAGGTCATCGGGGGACAAAAATGGAGACCACTTCAGTATAAGTTAGAAAATGGAAGTTTTAAGAATGAGTATGAGTATGGATAAATGAGAACATGTATGTGAGCATATATTCTGACATTTCTACAGGGCCCAGGTTATCTGAGCACAGAACACAGGCATGCTAACTGAAGGGCAAAGACCTTGGGAGAGACTGCATGCCCCCTAGAGAGACCTTTGGAGCTATAATTTCTTGCTCCTAGAGGCATCTGCTTATCCTCCAGGGTAATAATAACCACAATGGCTCTTCCCTCTCAGTCCCAGAGACTTGCTTGATGAGCAATTAATTTCAACAGAACAGGATGAGAAGATGTAGGTGAAGTCTTCTGCTACCCTAATGCCCCCGTAGTAAAAACCCCTGCACCTACAAGCCGCTACAGTGTGCTGAATTAAGACTTATTCTCTGATCTCCAAAGCTCCGTGTGTTCTATCAGAATACATGTGTGCACTGATACCATTGTATACATACAGATCTTTGGTTATACATATAAACACACATTCTTGCAAAAAAGGTTAACTCTCAGACCCTTCAAGGTTTCTCACAGCATACTTATGACAAAAAAGAAAAAGAAACCCGACATTCCCAAAGATAGAATTCACGTTCTGATGGACATCACTCTTTGAATCTTCAGGTTTTGGTATCTGTGACTCTGAACTCTTCTCAAGCAATTAAGGTAGAAAATAAACCTGAAAGATAGGCTTAAACATCAACAGGAAGAAAAATAAAAAAGAAATAAGTAAGATCCTTGGCTGGAGAGATGGCTGAGTCCCTAAAGCTCCTGCTGTGTAAGCATGAGGACCTGAGTTCAAATCCCCAGCACCCCAGAGCCATAGCCCCAGCACTAAGGAGGCAGAGCAGGCATATCCTGGAGCTCACTGACGAGCCAGTCCAGTCAAAATGATGAACTCTTGATAGTGTCTGACAGACACTATCTCAAAAATAAGGTGGACAGAGACCAAGGAAGACACCCCATCTCAACCTCTTCACACAATTGTACATACATACGCATATATCCACACAATCATGTACACATACTACACAAATAAATACACCTTTAAATAAAAAATAATTTAAATTAAAAAGCAAGTAAGCTATCAAGAGCACATGATAATTCAAGACAAATGTGGGGGGGGGGCATACCCAGGAAGCTGTTCAGGAGCCAAGGTCCCAGGGAGCCCTCTAGACGTGTGCTTTACATACCAAGTTGAGCACGGGGATGCATGTTTCTCCATTTCACACGAGCTATCCCAACCTGAAGCTGCATCGATGTTAACTGCAACCACCCTCAGAGCAGTGCGAGAGGAGATGGCTCAGAAGGAAAGCGCTGATACACACCTTTATCAGCCGGGCAGCCTCTAAAAGGACTTGGCCACGCTCCATGCCAGATTTCTTTCTCCATATTTCAAAGGCAGCCTTTGCACTTTTAACAGCCAAATGTACTTCAATTTCTCCTGAACACTGTAAAGTAGCTATCACTCGGCCTAGAGAGAAGCAGAAAGTCCGTTTTATCTCAAGCGGTTGCAAAACACATTTGAATTGTTTCTATCAGCCTTCTCTGGAGGATCCCTGTGACCATGATCTCATTTCGTTCTTAATTTTGTGACCAGGAATTCCTTTCGAATCCAATAAAGTTCCAAGTAGTAAACAACACACATGCAGGCAAAACACTCAACACATATTTTAAAAATAAAAACAAGCCAAGTATGGTGGCACACGCCTTTAATCCCAGTACTCAGGAAGCAGAGTCAGGCGGTTCTCTGTCTGTGAGTTCAAGGCCAGCCCGGTCTACAGAGTTCCAGGACTCGCTCCACAGCTACTGAGAAACCCTGTCTCAAAAAACAAAAAGAAAAAAATTAAAAATAAACAAAACAAACTCTCCGAAGTGCTACTGGGTAACTTAGAGACTCACTCTCTCACTCTCTCTCTCTCTCTCTCTCTCTCTCTCTCTCTCCCTCTCTCTCTCTCTCTCTCCATATATATATGGAATAGAGGAGATAACTCAGCAGAGGAGAAATCTGAGAACTCTAGAACCCTGGACTGCTCACTTATCACGAGGCTCGGTGGGCTCTACCAACCATTCGTTAAGAACTGCTGTAAACATTTAAGATAGAGTTCATTTGCCCCAGCTCCCACTTTCCCACGAGCCTCCGCAGCACTCTGTGCTCCACATTGCGGCCGTGCAAATCCAGCATCCCTTTGCGGAGTGCTCGGAAGAAGGACAAGGGGCAGCAGACTCAGTGCACAGGGCCAGGAGAGCCCACTCCACCCGCGCCCAGCCCGGTTACCGGTGGCAGGCTCGAAGGCCTTCTCCGTGCCGCTGCTGTCCACGGGCTCCACACGGGCCCCGTCGCGGTAGTTGAGCGGATCCAACTGGACAAAGGTGCCAGTGCTCATGGCGGTAACCGCTGCAAGCCCGGGAGTGCGGAAGAGCGACGTCAGCCCTGAGCTGACTGCACGGAGAAACATCTGCTGAGTGCGCAGCTCAGAGAGAAGACCCACTATTTTACGCGCGGGGAGGGCGGAGCGGAGGCGCGGACCGGTGAGAGGCGGGGTAGCGGAGGGGCGGGGCCTATAGAAGGAAGGGATCCTGGGCGAATTTGGACCGCGAGGGGGCGGGGCCTTGGGGAAGCCTGGCCGTGAGTGGGCGGGCATGGGGCGAGCAAGGAATGCCCGGAAGAGCCTGCTGGGAGGAAGGGGCAGTGGGAGGGGCGAGACCGTGCGTAGGCGGGCCACGAGGGGGCGTGGCTAGGGGGAGTATCTTAGGCCCAACCAGCATAGTTAAAGGAAGGGATAAAGAAGAATATAACTTGATCACCTTCCCATCTCTAGGCCTCCCAAGGAGAAAGTCTTTGAGAACCCACCTTGTCATCTATGGCCATTCTTAACCCCAATCCCCAAGCATCCTGGTGTCAGGTTCTGTATTGTTAAGGGCTCAGTTTCCCATTAGTTACCCTCTTGCACACAAACACTTTTTTGGGTTTTTTTGGTTTGGTTTGGTTTGGTTTGGTTTGGTTTGGTTTTTCAGGACAGGGTTTCTCCGTGTAACAGTCCTGGCTGTCCTGGAACTCACTTTGTAAACCAGGTTGGCCCTCGAACCCACAGAGGCAATTCACCTGCCTCTGCCTCCCAAATGCTGGGATTAAAGTGGTGTGCCATCAGCATCTGGCCACGCATGCTTTTATTCCCTAAACGTTAATGACTGTCACTCTTGTTACTCCTTCAATAATTCAGAAAGCTCTTCACAAAGAAATACAGCAAAAAGAAAAGGATTCTCCCAAATCCTCTTCCACACCATTTTTCTTAAAGCAGTTTACATACTGAGCTCCATGTTAAGTGTGAGTGCCCTTGCTTTCTTCACATATAAATTATAACTTTCTTGTTCAGGGCCTAGTAGGTTTCCACACAGCCTATTATTTGAATCAGGTCCTTCATGAATATGTGTTGAATGGGCAAACGAACAGTAACTGAAACCAGAGCTGTTACAGACCCTGAAACACCTGTTAAGACCTGAACCCACCACTCTAGTGACAATGTCCCCTCAGATTGGTTAGAACTCATAAGTAGCCTGAGCTAATGGGCCAGTCAGTTTTATAACTTATGGAGATCTCTGTGTGATTTTCTTGGGACTTGCCGACTGTGGGGTACCAGGTGGAACAGAAACCCCAACAAGCAGGCCTTCATGTTACAGAATGGCGCCCAACGTGGATAACTGCATACACAGAAAGTCTGAGAAAGCTTGGGAAAGAATAGAGTAAAGCATGGCTTCTTGGTAGCAGCAATTTCCTGGGGCTGCTCTGCTTGCTAGAGGCAAGCAAGTGCTCTCATCTAAGAGAAGCTTCCTGACTCAGGTTTAGCTGCAAAACCTTGCAGCTCTTTTAAGAGCCCCTGCCACAAAACACTTAAACAGTGTTGATGAAAAGCTGAACGCATGCTTTTCGGTTTTCAGCCATAGCAGGAAAAAAGCTGCGCCATTTTTAAAATACCGGCTTTCTGGGCCATCCTGCCAGTGCAAACTCTGACTCTTTCAAGCAGGCGGTCCTGACTATGGAGCTTTTGAGTGTTGTTTAACACTGTTGCAGCTTGCTTGCTGGCAAGGATCTTGAAATGCCATAGAGTTGTGGCAATAAAGTGGCTATAGTCGGTACCTCAGCTATGAGGCTGAAATCTTGAAAAGCTAAGGAGTGGGCTGGATCTAGCCGTCAAAGCCATGACTTTAATCCTCTCCTTAAAGACTCATGTAGTCAGAAAAAGAGAGATATACAGTAAAGAGAGATTCAAATAAAAAAGCATCTAAATGGTTTACAATGTGTTAAAAATATATTCAGGCTTAAAAGAAAAAAAAGGTTAAAGTCCTTAAAAAAGAAAGAAAGAGAGTAGTTGGGTGTGGTGGTACACACCTTTAATCCCAACACTTTTAAGGCAGAGTTAGATTGACCTCTGTGACTTCAAGGGGCAGAGGTAGATTAAGTGTTTGGTGGCAGGACCTCTTAATGAGCTGCAGGGTTTTGCAGCTAAAGCTGAGTCAGGAAGCCTCTCTTAGATGAGAGTGCTCGCTTACCTCTAGCAGGCAGCGCAGACCCAAGAAATTACTGCCACCAAGAAAACATGCTTTATTCTTTCCCAAGCTTTCTCAGGCTTTCTGTGGATGCAGCTATCCATGTGGGCACCATCTGTAACATGAGGGGGCCTGCTTGTTAATCCCAGTGCCTGGTAGGCAGAGACAGAAAGAGCCTCTGTGAGTTGAAGGTGTGGTAGCACACACCTTTAATCCCAGCACTGGGGAGGCAGAGACAGATGGATCTCTGTGAATTCAAGGACAGCCTGGTCTACAGAGTTATTCCAGGACAAAGATATACAGAGAACCTGTCTCAAAAAGTAAAAGTAAAAATAAAAGAAATAGAGGTTAAAATAAAGCCACATAAAGATGGAAAATACACAGAGAATCTTGATACTGTATGCTATTATGCTCTCTTTGAATTGTTTGAATGCTGAGGAAGGAGCAACAGCTGCTAAAAGACTTTTGTTTATAAATGCTGCTGAACTAACCCAAGATAGGTATTTTAAAATACCTTGGCTTCAAAATTGAAGTCAAAAGGTATGTTACTTTGGAGAAGAGATTTTCCTTTTGTTTCCACAGAAAATGAGAAGCTGTGGATTCATTCTGAGTTAAGAAAAATCCAGTTTGATCAAGGAAGACCACCTGAGAAATCTCTGGTAGGAACAGATGGCCCAGATGTCTGAGTTCTACGTCCAGAACGGATTCAAGATGCTGCCTGAGATAATCAGGTCTCACAGGATACTCCAGTCAGGACTTGATTATAACTCTAAATTTTCTTTAGGTCCCATAAGATTATCAGCGCCCCCAACCAACCAGAAGTAGCCTGGAATACTATGCCCACATTCCCAGCAAATGGATTATGGATATTTTCCTTTGTTTTTTTTTTTTAAGAAGGGGAAGTGGTGCGGGAGAATTATCTGTATTCTGTCAATCATGTATTTTAATAAAACTCTGATTAGCCAGGCAGGAAGTATAGGTGGGTCAACCAGACAGGAAGTAGAGGTGGGGCAATGAGAACAGGAGAAGGCTAGGAAGGAGGAAGCCCATTCCTCCATTCCTGCCCAGACCACAGAGAAGCAAGATGTAACCTGCCCCGCTGGAAAAGGTACTGAGCCACGTGGCTAATACAGACAAGAATTATGGGTTACCGTAAGATGTAAGAATTAGTTAATAAGAAGCCTGAGCTAATGGGTCAATCAGTTTATAATCTTATGGAGTCCTGTGTGTGATTTTCTTTGGGGCTTGCTGGCTGTGGGGTACTGGGCGGGACAGATATACCCCAACAAGCAGGCCCTTTTGTGTTACACCAGTCAGTTTTATAACTTATGGAGATCTCTGTGTAATTTTCTTTGGGACTTGCCGACTTTGGGGTACCAGGCAGGATAGAAACCCCAACAAGGAGGCCTTCATGTTACAGCTTTCTAACTTGAGAGAATGGTCTTTTTATTTTCAGCAGTTTTGAATGATAGGTTAAATACCTAATGTCACATGGCGTTGAATGGGATGTATGGTACTGGTACAGAAGCTGGAAACACTGTATAACTGTTATTATATGAGCAACACACACACACTTGGGAGGCAGAGGCAGGTGAATCTCTGGAAGTCAGCCTGGTCTAATACTGAGTTCTAGGGCAGCCGTGTCTTCAAAGTAAGATACTGTCTCAAAAATACATAAATAAACCAAAGCAATTTAAGTAAGGACAATCTCCATGGTTGATCATGCTGTCCTGTTGTTTTTTTTTTCAAAGAAAATTCAGAGTCATGTACTTTGGAATTTGATCTTAGAGCTGATAATAACCTAGAAAGTGCAGGCAGCTCCCAGAAACATTTACAACATGTGTTAGCTGAGCAAGCAGGAATTATTTCAGTTCCTTTTATCTGTGTTAGATATATCCATAATTGGTCATCTCAGTGTTTATTCTAGAACCAGGAAGAACTTTAGTATTCTAAATCTCTATGTGTTATTATATAGTCGGCTAAAGACAAAATTTCAGAAGTTAAGCAATACTTAGTGTAACTTTCTATGTCTATAGTAAGTATTTCAAAATCAGTTGCTTAAAAAATAAACTTCATGGTCACTCTAATAATAAAACAATTAAAGTGTGATTGTTTTTTGGTGTTGCTAACTCACATGTCCAACAACGCACACGGCCTTCTTCACATGAGGCAAATGCTGTGCCAGAGTTAGAGTCCCAGCCCTTAAACCCATATATGGGTTTTTGTTTATTCGCTTTTTTGTTTTGTTGTAATTAATTTATACATTTTTAGTTTTTTGAAATGGGACCTCGCTATCCAGGTTTCATGCTCCCTCTGTAGCTCGAGCTGGCATCCAACTCATGAGTTCCCTGGCACCACCTCTCAGGTTACAGGTTCATGCCGTAATGGAAAAGTATGGTTTTTTTTAAAAGAAAAAAATAAACTACTTTCATAAATAACTTTATGACCATAAATAATTTTAATAGCTAAAGCTCCCTTGACATGCTGTCTTAGTCTATCTAGGTGTTATAAGGAAATGCCTTCAGCTTCAAGAGTAATGAAAAACAGAAATCGATTCCTTACAGTTCTAGACCCAGGTCAGCCACCGATTCAGTGTTTGCTATGTACCTGCTCTATTCCAAAGTTGCTGCCTTCTTGTCAAGGTCTTTTATTGCATAAAGGAGATGGAGGGGGGGATTTCTCATGAATTTTTCCTTTTCCTTTTCCTTTTGGTTTTTTGAGACGGGGTTTCTCTGTGTAACAGTCCTGGCTGTCCTGGAACTTGCTTTGTAGGCGAGGCTGGCCTCGAACTCACTGAGATCCATCTGCCTCCCAAGTGCTGGAATTAAAGGCATGCATCACCACCACCTGGCTTGTGCATCTATTTTTTGCAGGAAAAAAAACTGTGTATAGGCATTGTACAAAGTGACAGGCTTTGTTATGGTATTGTTATCGCTATATAGCATCTGCTTTGCTCAAATTCTTCCCTATGATTG